TGCAAAATGAAGCTTGAATAATTATTTTTTAGCAGAAAAAATTGAGAGGAATCAATTTCAATCATTAGAACTACCATTGCACTTGGTATTCAAAAGAAATTGTCAAACATTTACAATAATTATTTAGTAAATGCAGAAAATGAAGGAATTAAAAAGTTAATATTATAAGGAGTTAGTCTTGAATCTTTTTTTTTGTTTATGCAACTTATTCTTTAGCCTTCTGGTATAGATCAACTTTAATTCTCACACATGAAATAACTTCTGGCCAGGTTTTATCTTTTTTTATATTAGACAATTTGGCTTAAATCTATTATAGGTGACATCTCTAGAAATTTTTCCAGAGGTGTTACCTATAATAGATTTAAATCAAAAATTTCTATTTATAAAATTAATGTTGAGCTGATACTTTCATTTAAAGTGATAAATGCTTTTTTTGCTGTAATTATTAGTGCATTCTCTCTTGCAAATATTGTTCCAGATTTGCAGGCCTTTGCAATTGCAGTTGGAGCTAGCGCAAAGATTCTTGAAACTATTGATCTTGTTCTACCAATCGATTCTGTCTCACCAACTGGTGAAATTCCTGATCATGTTGAAGGCCATTTTCAGTTTAAAAATGTTTTATTTAGCTACCCTTCTAGATCTAATGTTAAAGTTTTAGATAATATCTCATTGTACATTGAACCTGGGACATCTGTTGCTATTATTAGTACTTCTGATTCAGAAAAGAGTATGTAATTACTTATTTATATTTAATTAAATTTTTAATAAAAATTTAAATGTTTACTCTTAGGCATGATTATATCATTAGTACTATGATTTTATGATCTTAACTTTGGAGAAATTATTCTTGATAATAATAATATTAAATTTCTTAATATTAAGTGGCTACATTAACAAATTAGTCTTGTAGAACAAGAACCTGTACTTTTTAATAATACAATTTGTGAGTATTAGATTAATTTAAAATAATTACTCTAGCTTTTCCTGATACTAACAATAATTTTTTTTAGTTAATAATGTTGCACATGGATTAATTAGCTCAACATATGAAGACTTGTCTGTCGAGGAAAAATATAAAATGATTAAAAATATCTGTGAAATATCTAATACTAACAAATTTATTGTAAGACTTCCTAATTAGTATGAAACAATGGTCGGTAAGGGCAGAATACTCTTATTTGGAGGTTAAAAACAATATATTGCTATAGCTATGCTATTGTAAGAGACCTAAAAATACTATTTTTAGATGAAGCTACCAGTGCTCTTGACTCTCAAAGTGAAAAAATTGTTTATGACACGTTGAATAAAGTCTCTAAAAATAGAACTATGAGTTAAAAATATTTGTTTGAAAGCTGAAGTAGATATTTGTATATTTACCATATTTTACCCAGCATTATTTGGCCTAATTTAAAATTTAACCAAAACTTTTGTTCTTTAGACTATTATTATTACTCATCGATTGTCTACTATCTGCAATACCACAAAAATTATTGTTAGTATCAGAAAAAGCTAGAGTAATTATTTTAAATTAATCTAATACTCACAAATTGTATCATTAAAAAGTACAGATTTTTGTTCTATAAGACTAATTTGTTGACAGAGCCACTTAATATTAAGAAATTTAATATTATTATTATCAAGAATAATTTCTCCAAAGTCAGGATCATAAAATAATAGTACCAATAACATAATCATGCCTAAAAGTAAATATTTAAATTTTTTCATGAAATTTAATTAAATATATATGAGTAATTACATACTCTTTCCTGAACTAAAAATACCAACAATAGCAACAGATATTCCAGATTCAATGTACA